ACTTAAGTCTTCCATTGTGTCACCAAGGTGACTAGGAGCAGTGTGATGTTAACCTTCCTGTGACAAGCCTGTAACGACTTAAGTCTTCCATTGTGTCACCAAGGTGACTAGGAGCAGTGTGATGTTAACCTTCCTGTGACAAGCCTGTAACGACTTAAGTCTTCCATTGTGTCACCAAGGTGACTAGGAGCAGTGTGATGTTAACCTTCCTGTGACAAGCCTGTAACGACTTAAGTCTTCCATTTTGTTACCAAGGTGACTAGGAGCAGTGTGATGCTAACCTTCCTGTGACAAGCCTGTAACAACTTAAGTCTTCCATTGTGTCACCAAGGTGACCACACTAACCTTCCATTGATTATAACCAAGGTGCTCTGTATATGTAACTTTTGATATTTAAGTGGTAACAGATATTTATCAAGAAATAATCGTTTTTTTTCCCCTAACTATTTTGATTGTGTTAGATATTTAAATATTTAAGGTAATTGGTATATGCCTGAAGCAACAGAGGTCTACCTGTGTGTACAGTAATTAGTGCTAGCCTACCTGTATGCATTGTGAAGTCCATCAAAATACCATTTAAGAAAGTTAAAACATTAAGTGAACCACTCATAACTAATTATTGAGTAGACATTATTTTTTAAAGTAAGTAGGAGATTTTGGTATGTTTTCGTCACATCTTTGGTGTCGGACAAGTTGAGGATTGAAAGGCTACAGCTTATGTTATGACAAGGTGTAGATGGGTCATCTTATTTTCCAGTCCAATTTGTATTCTTCTATTTGAAGGATATTTCATATTTTTTATGTCTGGTCAGTTATGGACCAAGTACAGCAGCTAGGATCTTATAACTTCCCATGCTTGTGCACCTTTATTAGTAAACTTTGTGGGACATTTTTGTGATCTTGACCTTTGACCTTGATTTGGGTCTTTAGTGTGGAAGTGGGGCATCTTATTTGGGGTTCTTATATTCCGCTTTATCACAACCTAGTTAGTAGGTTGTCTCACAAAGTATTATCCTTGGTTATAGGGCCTTTGCAACCAGCCAATACCTTTCTCAACTCCCTGGGGAGCATACAGATCCTTGACTAGTCTGATCTAATTTTCCTCCATGTGTTACTGACATTTGTTTCTGAAGTGTAAGTTCATAAACTACACATTGACATATGATAATTTTGAGGTTGTTACAGATTATTTCTGATCAAGTAATTACTGATATTCAGCTACCTGATTATTGTCATATATTATATAGTGCAATAGTTTTAATTATATAGTGATATTTTTTATGGAATGTTTTTGTTGTTATATCGTTTGTAGATCACATGATCATCTTATTTATATGTATTTAGGAGCATTCATTGTATGAATGTTGATTTTTTATGTCCATATTTAAATGAATTATTTTGAAATTGGAAAATATAGTGAAGTTCTGGAAAAATCACTTTTTTCTCAACTTAAAATTAAATAAGTCAAAGATAGCACACAGTTCTTACATAGCAATTAAAGGAATGTATTTTTGAAAGGTACATATCAACATACATGTTTATGTGAGGAGCTTTATAATTAAAATATCATGCAAAAAGTATTTCAGCTTAATTACTACATATCAAGTAAATTATCCATGAGTTAGTCACCACGAAGGTGAAGTATAAATATGTATTGATGCTTTAAAGCAATTATTTTACCTGCTGTCTACAAAATGTCATTTTCTTTCTATCAGACTTCTGGTAAGTCTGTAGTCTTTACTTATGATAAATAAAGAACATTGTAAGGATAACAGTGAAGTGTTGTTATATTTATAGAAATATTAACCTACTGAACCAAAAGAATGACTTTTGTTTCTCTGACCTGTTTCCACTAAAGCCAGTATGATGTCTTGTGGAAATTGATCTCTTAGAATTTCAGAATTGATAAAAATATCGCCGCCAGCCTTACAACAGTGTTGCCGTGTTTAATCAGACTCAATCTGAAAACAGCTCCTGCTGCAGAACCTTCAGAGCGTTATTTGCGTCAGGGTTTCCATTGGGCAGGTGGAAGCCGAGAAGTTGGGAATGTTAAGATATATTGGCCCAGAGTTAGCCTATAGTCCCCAAACAGTACACTATGTCAGGATGTATCGACTGTAAGGAAAGTATCCAGATACATACTTCTTCCACTCCACCATTCCAAGATGTCCATGTACATCAAATTATCTGGTTACACCAGGTGAAATAGTATAGAAGATGTGCCCCAGACAAACTTTTTTCAAAGGTAAAGTTCAAAGGTAAACACAAAGGTCACAGTGACCTTCGTCACTCTGCAATCCGCCATCCCAAGATGTCCATGAACACCAAATCTGGCTACTCCAGGTGAAATAGTATAGAAGATATGTCCCAGGCAAATTTCTCAGATGGATGGACGGGCGGAGTGCAAACCTATATATAGTCACCCCCAGGAACCGGACTAGAATAAATATCCCTTCACCTATACTTTTTAGCTCACCTGGTCCAAAGGACCAAGGTGAGTTTATGCCATACCGCAGCGTCCGTTGTCAGTCAACTTTACACTACTAGTCATGAACCACTGAGCGGATTTTAACGAAATTTGGTGTGGAGCATCCTTGGGTGAAGAAGAACCAATTTTGTATAAATGGTGGGGCGAGGCCAAATGGGGAAATATAGCAAATTCTTCTTCAAAATCCTTCTTCTTCTGTAGAAATGAAAGGATTTGTTCCATATTTGGTCAGAAGCATCCTTGGGGGAAGGGGAAGAAAGTTTGTATAAATGGTGGGTCTGGCCCCCTGGGGGCTGAGCCCAATAGGGGAAGTGTAGCAAATTCTTTAAAATCCTCTTCTGTAGGAATGGAAGGATTTGTTCCATATTTGGTCTGAAGCATCCTTGGGTGAAGGGGATCCAATTTTGTATAAATCAAGGGTCTGGCCCCCCAGGGGCCTGAGGGGCAGGGCCAAATAGGGGAAACATAGCAAATTATTCTTTATAATCCTTCTTCTTCTGTAGGAATGAAAGGATTTGGTGTGGAACATCCTTGGGTAAAGGGGAACCAATTTTGTATAAATGGTGGGTCTGGCCCCCCAGGGGATTGAGGGGTGGGGCCCAATAGGGAAAATATAGCAACTTCTTCAAAATCCTTCTTCTTCTGTAGAAATGAAAGGATTTGTTCCATATTTGGTCAGAAGCATCCTTGGGGGAAGGGGAACAAAGTTTGTATAAATGGTGAGTCTGGCCTCCCTGGGGGTTGAGGGGCGGGGCCCAATAGGGGAAATATAGCAAATTCTTTAAAATCCTTCTTCTGTAGGAATGAAAGGATTTTGTTCCATATTTGGTCTGAAGCATACTTGGGTGAAGGGTAACCAATTTTGTATACACCATGGATCTGAGCGGTTGGGCCCAATAGGGAAAACATAGCAAATTATTCTTTAAAAATACTTCTTCTTCTGTAGGAATAAAAGGATTTGGTCCATATTTGGTCAAAAGCATCCTTGGGGGAAGGGGAACAAAGTTTGTATAAATGGTGGGTCTGGCCCCCCTGGGGGCTGAGGGGCGGAGCCCAATAGGGGAAACATAGCAAATTATTCTTTAAAGTCCTTCTGTAGGAATGAAAGGATTTGGTCCATATCTGGTCTGAAGCATCCTTGGGTGAAGGGGATCCAATTTTGTATAAATCAAGGGTCTGGCCCCCCAGGGGCCTGAGGGGAAGGGCCAAATAGGGGAAACATAGCAAATTATTCTTTTAAATCCTTCTTCTTCTGTAGGAATGAAAGGATTTGGTGTGGAACATCCTTGGGTAAAGGGGAACCAATTTTGTACAAACGGTGTGTCTGACCCCCCCTGTAGGCAGAGAGGCGGGGCCCAATAGGGAGGTAAAACTTTTAAAATCCTTCTTCTACCATAGGGATTAAGGGATTTTATCCTAATTTAGTCTGGAGCATCCTTGGCCCAAGGGGACTCATTTTTGTATTAGCAGTAGGTGTGGTCTCCGAGGGGGGCAGAAGGGTGGGGCCCAATAGGAGAAATAGAGGAAAAACTTTTAAAATCCTTCTCTGACCATCGGGATTAAGGGATTTTATCCTTACTTAGTGTGGAGCATCCTTGGGTGACGATGACTCAATTTTGTATAACTGGTAGGTATTACCCCCGTAGGGGCATAGGGGTGGGGCTCTGTTTGAAGTTTGTTCTCTATATCTCAAGTACTGGATGGATCTCTCTGAAATTTCATATGTACTTACCATGGAGTGCTATATCTTTACTTCATACCAATTAGTTTAATTATATTCAGGTGAGCGATACAGGCCCTCTGGGCCTCTTGTTTTATTCTGTTGACATCTGTCATTCAAAACTTTTTCTTTAAACTGCTTCTCAGTTTAATATTTAAAGACTTGTAAAGTACAGGTTGACAAATAATTTAACACTTCCATATCAAACTTGTCTCAGAGATAAGCAAAAACAACGACAGAAGAAATAGTTCGGCCCATGGCCCTTTAGTTTAATACAGTTAACTATTATAAATACAACACAATCATTCATATAATTTATTAAAATACAATTAAGTTTGTTGTGAATATAGTAAACTACACCTCATTACAAAGCAGACATGCAGCAGGACTCTGTTGTAAACCGAGTAATATTTCTGTATAAACATATAGATCTTATTGAACATATAAACACTGTATTCCTTCAGCCTATTTCTGTGCTTCATATCATAAAACACCATTCCTTCAACCAGTTTCTGTGTTCCACACCAAATAAACACAGTATTTCTTCAGTCTATTTTTGTCTTTTGTACCATAAATCAACAGTATTCCTTCAACCTATTTATGATCACTGACATTTTTCAGATATTACACATTATGCATGCAATTTGTCCCTTACAATCATTTTCTTTATTAACCTTAATATTATCACCATATGTATGATTACATATTAAATGCGTTATTAACCAATAAACCAGGACCATCCTACAGTTCAGAAAAACATAGATATTTCTCAGTTTGGAAATGAAACAAGACCATCTTACCATTCAGAAAAGATAGTGAGTGTCCTCAGCCCAACTGAGCCAAGAACATCTTATGTTTGAGAAAAGATATTTACTGATTTCACCATGAAGAACTTTTTAGTAAAGAAGATGTATGTCATAGTAAGGTACTCATAAACTTAGATACAGACAATATGCTCAGTAAACTAAAATTTTGTAAACTGTCTAGTCAGCTGCAGTAGCATTAGTTCAATTGGACCCAAAATGAATGACAATGATGTCCAACCTACATGAATACGACTAAAACTACAGCACTAAAACTGGCTCTCATGATGGTCTACCTCGACAGACTAGTGCCCCTTGATGGAATCATCTGAATCAATAACCAAGCTGGGTGTAACCCGCAGCACTACTTATAATTAAAACATTGAAACTAGTAAAATGATGGGAACAGATGATCTTTGGTATAAAGTGAAGGGAGCAAATAAATGTACACAAATAACAGCCAAGACACAGTCGTACAAATAGTCACAGCTGAGACAGTCGTACGAATAATCACAGCTGAGACAGTCGTACCAATAGTCACAGCTGAGATAGTCGTACTAATAGTCACAACTGAGAAAGTCATACGAATAGTCACAACTGTACATCTAATCAGTAACACAGGTACAGTGTACTATCACAATGTACATCTAATCAGTAACACAGGTACAATGTAGACTCACAATGTACATAGCTGACTTCCACCCTACCAATGTCATTACAAATCTATTACAACAGTCTAAATACACTGTAAACATAGTGACATGTACGGGAAGCACTATATGTACTGGACATGTGAACAACAATAGTAAGCATTTACATGTCGTTTTTAAAGTTCTGACCAACAAAAATGTACAACATCACTTTGTTCAAAAAACAATGGAAATGAAAAGTTTTATATCTTGTTCAAAGTCTTTTTTCGTGTGATCATGTGTAACAAGTGTTGCTAAACATTTCCTTCATGTTGTAAGTATGGATTGTAGAAAGGTTCATGTAGCACAGCCAGTGAGGTGTTTATGTGGGATGTTTCGATGACTAGTTCAGTATGTACCCTAGCTGTCACCTTCATCAGGCTTTTGACCAGTGAAGCACATGTACACAAAGGTGTAAAATGTGTACGAGTTGGCATTATACCATTGAGGATGGTATGGCTATGCTATAAGCGTTTGTACACTTTAAACCTTTATACAATCAAACTTTGATGTGACCACTGAAGTGTGACAAAATTTCATGTGATCCCTTTAGTTTAACAAAACGACAAGTGATCTCAGAATTGCAACACCAAAATACAAATGTCATTGATAAAGATAACTTAACATAGTGTCTCAGTGCTGTTCTGAGCTACTAAATAAATCTGCGAGTAGCCCCGTTAATCCTGGGATAGAGATAACTTAACATCGTGTCTCAGTGCTGTTCTGAGCTACTAAATAAATCTGTGAGTAGCCCCGTTAATCCCGGGATAAAGATAACTTAACATAGTGTCTCAGTGCTGTCCTGAGCTACTAAATAAATCTGCGAGTAGCCCCGTTAATCCTGGGATAAAGATAACTTAACATAGTGTCTCAGTGCTGTCCTGAGCTACTAAATAAATCTGTGAGTAGCCCTGTTAATCCTGGGATAGAGATAACTTAACATAGTGTCTCAGTGCTGTTCTGAGCTACTAAATAAATCTGTGAGTAGCCC